ATTTCCTCCGCCATTTTCCGCAGTTTGGCACCTCACGTCACATCATTTTACCGAAGTCAGCCCTATAGCTTCGGCGCAGTGCCGATCACTGACGTTTGTCAACAAAATGGTGCTTGACTCTTGAGACAGGCTAAATTACACCATATTGGTAATGACATTGAGCATACATTTTTTTAAATACCTTCGCGAAGTAAAACTTCTGTACCTACTTAGTACTTATTATTATTCTGTGGTATAACACATTATGTTAAAACACTGATTTTCAGTGGTTGCTTTGGGCAAAGGTCAAAAGTCAGCAGGAAACAAGATCACAAGATTTAACCGTTGTTTAAACTATTAACTAAAACAAAATTAACCACCTTTTACATCCGACCATACCATATAATAATGAGAAATTGTTGTAACTTCAAAATATTTATTTTAAGTTACGAAAATGTGTCACTTGACCAATTTTCAGGACTCGATATTTTTTCGGCACTATTTGATGAAATTAATGTCCTACCTCTTCCTGATAAGGGGCCTAATATAAAAGAACAATATTGAGGACCTACTTTTATATAGGTTTCTGACGAAGTAACTGATTTTGTTTATAATGTTTTAGTTTTAATTAGAAAGGTTTATTTTACTCTTGAGAACGTATTACTTATATTATATACAAAAATAAAACTTGTTAGTACAAAGTTTTTAGCCTTTTCATAGCAACGTACAAACTTAATTTTATTCAAAGTGCTGAAGTGAAACGTAAACGTAACATATATTAAGAAAAAAATCGCAAACGAGCGCAAGTTAGGTTAATTCTCAGGTTGCCGCAACAAGTAAAGTAAGATTTATTAACCGTGACGATCCTCGCAAAATGGCGAATAAATCAGTGACGTACAGCTGAACTCACTCCGTTTTGTATGAGGTGAAAGAGAAAATATAAATTTAATGGGCAAAAATGGGTGACGTTAAATACCTGTACAGTCACTGGGATCGTTTTTGGAAAGAGAATACCTACTGATTTTCTCTAATCCGTTTCATCCTAATATCGTCCACTGCTGGACAAAGGCCTCCCCTATGGATTTCCACATCGACCGGTCCTGAGCTTTAGGCCCTTCCCGCAATCATGATCAGATCGTCGGTGCATTGAGTTCAAAAAAGTTTTTCCAAACAAATGAGTCCAGAAGGTCCGAAAAACATTCGCTTTTCAACTACCTATTACGAATATACTGTTAAGATGAAGATGATTACGAGAATGTGTTTATTTTGTGCACCATTTTATAAAATATGAATTAATATTGATTGAATGCTGCCTATAATAGAAATCCTAATAATGTATTCGTAGAAATGTTTAACAGCAATAACAGAATACAACAGCAATATTGAGTTCAAAGAAAAATCAGCGCAACAAATAAAATGGCATTAGCATAAAAACTACACGTTTTAACTTCAGCACTTTGAATAAAATTAAGTTTGTACGTTTGCTCGCGAGTGTACTGTGGGCTGAGCTAACATACCCTTAATCGTTGCTTCGATTTACATATTCACCGTAAATATTTGGTACACTGACGGACAAAAAATACGAGCAAACATTTACTTTCAATATTCAAATGATGTGTTTAATCTTCAGCATGATGTATGTTTACCATACTCGTATTTATGTTACACAAAGCTCACTTAAAGAAGGAAAATTGTTTTCCAAAGGCAATATTTAGAAAAGGTTAGGTATTTTCGATTCGTTGGGTGGTGGAGCCATTACTAAAACGGCTTAGAATAATAACGTCGTAACTGGCGCGTTTTTATGGTATCACATCAAGCTAAATTTACGTTCTTTTGATTGCTTTTTTTGATATATGCGCTCAGTTTTATAAGGTTGAGTTTTCTCTACCTAATGTATTTTTCTGACCTCAGAACTTACTTGCCAGTGGAATGTGATTCAACCGCAGTATTTTATCCTTGACTGGAATTTTAATTGCTAGGTCAATTTCTCCTATTAATCCTTCAAGCTCCGCGAATCTAGACACAATAGATAATCAATTGTTATGACATTAATTAATGCCGTCTGGGACTCAATGGGTTAATAGTAAACTTCAAAATTTCAGTTTTTAAATATCAAATTGAACTATTCTAACTGCCTTCAAATTCACTACAACTTGAAATCAGTATGAAATTTCGAAGTATTCTTCGATATCGTCAGAGAATACCTACAGACGAGAATATAACTCTACCAATTGACTGACATCATTGGAACCAGAATTGCACTTCATCAGCAGTAGAGTTCATTGCAAGGTGGATACGTCATGCTGCCTTCAAATAAGTGACATCAAAAATCGCTTAGCGTTCCCCAGAACACCGCAGCGAGAGAGCTAGGGTACACTTTAGGGTGCAGAAAAGAAATAGCATCTTTTAAGGCTGTAATGGGGCTAATTAGTTTCATCAGGATGTGTACTGACTCAATACTTCCAGTATAAAATCAGTTTACATTTACCTATTTATTAATCACAAAAAAATACAAATTGTAATTTTTAAAAAGAAAAAAGACTTACCTAATAGTAAGTATGTGTGTTCTTAAAATATTTGCGTTATCGTATTTTTGTTTGGATTTTATTTCTCATGAAATGTACCCTCTAGAAAAAATCACTACTCTACTACGAGGGCGGCACTGAAAATTTCGGGAATCAAAGAAGTGAAACAACATTACTATTTAAAAATGTATTTATTGCTTTTTTAAGTATTCTCCGCGAACTTTGACACATTTTTCTATACACGAAACCAATCATTGAAGCAACCATTGCATTCGGAAGTTTGGGTCTCCAAAATGGCCGTTTTATAGGCTTCCACAGCTTCTTCTGGTGATGAAAATCTCTGACCACGCAATTTATTCTTTATTTTAGGGAAAGTATAGAAATCATTAGGGCTTAGGTCGGGGCTGTACGGCGGATGGACTAATAATTCTATGTTTTCTTGCTCTAAAAACTCTTTTGTTCTGTGCGCGGTGTGAGAACTCGCATTGTCGTGATGGAGGATGATGCGGCGGTTGCAGTTCTCTTTACGGAGTTCAGAAACGACCTGTGGCAAACAAATGCTAGCATACTAATCTGCATTAACAGTTCTTTGTCCCCCAAGAGGAATAGTCGCAACATGGCCGGTTTTGGAGACAAACGTGGCCACCATTTTTTTTGCAACACTCCGTGAACGAACAATTTTTGTTGGCTTTAATTCATTTTCGAACACCCAAACTCGTGACTGGTTTTTTGTTTCGGGTTCGTACGCGTATATCCATGATTCGTCACCTGATACGATGTTGTATACAGCATTTGAGGATCCTGCATGTAATCTCCCGAGAGTTCTGACGCACCAAGTAACGCGAGCCGCTTTTTGCTCTTCACAGAGCGAATGCGGTATCCATCGGGAAAACAACTTTTTTACACCTAATTGTTCATGCAAGATTATTTGTATTTGACTCATGCCAATGTCTAAAGTTGCCTGAATTTCGCGGTATATCACATGTCGATCTTCTTCAATCAGCTTACGCACAGCATCAACGTTTTCTTAGGTGACTGCAGTTTTTGGACGACCTTGACGGGGATCATCACTGAGCTTGACACGTCCACGTTGAAATTCAGGAAACCAGCGATAAATTGTGGTTTTGGATGGGGCTTCATTACCAAATGCAGAAATCATCCGGTCAACACACTGTTTTTGTGTTAAACCACTTCAAAAGTCATAATAAATCATCGCTCTTGAATTTTCTTAAGTCCATTCCATTTTCTCAACGACTAAACAAGTTTGACAAGATCTTGTGATACGACCGAGAATCTTTTTTTAAATAAATAAATGGTATACGATTTTTAAAACCCTGGAGTTTGCAATGAAATAGATTTTAATATGACTGGAACAGTGGAAATATTCCATTCCCGATACTTTTAGTGCAGCCCTCGTACTACTACATTCTAGGTTGCTTTAATTTTTCTTATGCTATAAATACAAAAAAAACACTTCTATTAATAACTAAAATAACACTTTCCGTCACTGGAAAAGTCTAGCGTAAAATGCTCAGTCACAACTACTTCTCCAATTCTCGTGAAAAAATACCTAAACGTAGGAACAAAACATTTTCAGAAGTGGCACTTTCAGTGGTCACAAGTGTATCGTAATGGCATGTCCTCAAGACTAGCACTAGTCCCGTACTGCGGTGTAATTTCGTGTTGAAATGTGTTGCCAGAAAAAATAATTACGCCAACTTACTTGGGGTGTGTTGGATAAAATCTTAATGTCTTGTATGAAAACGCTTACTTACCTGTTTCTAACGTTTATAGCATTTATGTCCGATTCAACCAAAGTTTTATCCCAGAATATCACCTGGTATTAACTGGCACATTGACAGTTTCAGTACAGGAAATAGCGGGCGGCCGCTAGTTTCATATAGGTATTTTGGACTCCGCCACTCTGACGTAAAGTGTGCGAAGCTTTGAACAAAATACAGGGTGTCCCATAATGGGAGAATCAAACTGATAGGGGAGGTAGCTCTACTAATGTACAGTCGCGGAATGAAAAGGTTCGTCACCTTAGTGTCGGCTTTTGCTTGCACTAGGTACTGTAAGAGTCAAACCTGCCAACATAACAGTGCAAGAAACAGTGCTGCTAACATTTAAATAAATATGACGTTTGCTAACGAATAAGGTTTTGCTTGTTTATTTTTCTATCCCATCAGTGCAATGCAATGATGACATTGACCAATTGACAATAGTTTTTTTCATTTTATAAGAAATAATAATGGCAGGTTGAACCAACAAGAAGGTTTTAGTTTATCAATCATAATAATCTTCTTGACAAGATAAATCGTCAAACAACTTTGATCTGAATAATTTTGAACTTTACTGACGAACAGTTAAAGATTATTTTCTCTAACTCGAGATTATTCTGTAACATAGTTTCAAAAGGTAATATGTGCTCGCGATTCGTTGAAGGAATCAATTTGAAAACTGACGAACCTTTTCATTCCGTGACTGTACAATTGTAGGAGGCCTAAGTTTGGTGTGTGGTGTGTAGCCTTCCTACTTTTCAGTGTTGAGGAGAGGTAGTTGAAGTAAAACTCAATTGCTGGTTCAGAAGGGAATAATTTATTGGCGAAACAATGCCATATTTATTTACAAAACTTATGTACAACTAGACTACCTAAGCAACCATACATTTTGACCAATCGCCGTTTGATGTTATATTCTTGTCGTCTCGCTCCCACGATGTCTCTCTGTCACCGGGTTCGCGCAGTGTTCCGAGTGCGGCGCGAGTCTTCTGTCTCGCTCTCACGCTACCTCCTTGTCGCGCGGCGCGCGCGCGGAGTGCGAGGGGAGGTGTCGACTGGAGTGCCCGCTGCCCCCAGCCTCGATCTTTTCGACGGCGGGCAGCGGCGCAGGACGCACGCGTGTACCGGAGCGCGACGCGGCGCGTGCCCACGCGGCTCGCCGCTCCACGCGTGGGCGTTGGTGATGCTGCTTGGTGACAGTGGTGCGAGCGGTGCTGGTGCTGCGATGAGGGACGGTGCGACGTGCAGTGGTCACAACGAAACAGCTCTTCTCAGAGCTATGCAACGGCTCTTGTCAGGGCCACATTCCTGTTTCTATTATGATGACCAATGTGGTGTTTCTGTGCTGAAAGTTGCTTGTGGCTTCGGCTGCAAACATTCATTGTTTCGATTCGAAGACGATTTTTATTGTGGTCGCTGGCGGCTACAGTATATTATAAGATATATCCATATCGTTTATTATAAGATACTTATTAGTTCCTATCAAGTTACAAGACCTTACTTGGTGAAATCAAATTACGACAGAATGATGAACGTATTGCCGTAGCCAGCTTTCGGTTTCGTCTGCGCTTGTTTACCAACACCAATATAGGTGGTCATAGCCGCTTTTCAAGCGGTGTACAATCGCATGCATTTTAAATAACACCAACAGCCTTCTCCATCGAACTGTCCCTAATTTCCACTACCCCAAGCCAATGAAACGAATCTGTAACTACATTAGCCGGGGCTGTACAAACATTTCGCTGCGAATTAACGGCACATTGATCAGATTTCCGAATTTAACGGTTGGCGAGTCCGTCGCAATGCCAATCAGCGGGCCGCCATCAGGACGGCAATTTGCAACGGGATATGGTTTTATTGCATTTATTTATTTCGGCTACGCGACGGCATTCGACGGGTTAAGTGGAAATGGAAGAAGGCGGTGCTGTCCTTTTAACCCTCCGTGTACGAGGTGACTAAAAGTTACGTCCCGTACCAGGTGGGGTATGACACACCCCAATATACAAAGTGATAAAATTTTCATTCAACATTTTTTTAGGTGGAATTTAATATTTAATATTGATTATTTACGTATGCTAATTAGGTTTAAGAAATGCTCTGAGCTGAAAATATGTATTATAACATTTTTATCATAAAAAAAACAAAAAGACACAATTTCCGTTGTTCTTGTAATTTAGGAATCAGTAGGAATCAGTTTCCTATGTATAATTTTTAATTAGTGCCTTTAATTATGACAACCGTTTTTATTTAACAAAGTACAAGTATTTACTTATAATTTAAAAGTAAATTAAAAACTGGAAGGGTATAAATTTGTTTTGATCATCGGTTTTCAATTTACCACAATTCTGATGAAAGAAAATGAGTATGCTCAATGCATAAAATGGGAGCGTAACAATTTTATTTATTTATAAAATATGTTATTCCATTTCAGTAGCCCATAAATTGTATCACCAAGTATAAATTGTAGCCCATAAATGTATGTTCACATACATCTTCGGATCTCAGTACTAAACTTCCAGATTCGCACTAAAAGTCATCTCATTTGACTAAAAGTGCTTGAAAATTTCAGATACCGTAAAAATCACGAAAAATATTATTTGTATTGAATTTTATTCAATTGACAAAGCTAAAAATATATAAATTACACCAAAACTGTTAGATTTTTTTTTTAACTTTTTAACAACGTCCCGTACCAGGTGGGGTGTATAACACCCACACGCACTTTAAAGGCATGTAACTCAGTTGGTAGTCACCGCTGGACTGATTTTGCAACGCTGATCGAAGCAGCAGTGTCATAATTCCAGCTACTGAGAATTTCAAATTCAGCACTTGCAAATTTTTAAAATTGTGGCTATTTTTAAAGGACTGGGGTGTGTCACACCCCACCTCGTACAGCGAGGGTTAAATTGGAAATAGGTGGGTTACAATCTCCGACTTTAATTTCCCCCATAGCTGTATTACCTAAACGTGAGCATAGAGATAAGACATCTAAATATAAAAGGAGAAACTGACTGACTGACATATCAACGCACAGCCTAAACGGCTAAACGTAGGCACTTGAAATTAGCGGTAAAATCCTGTTGTATGAAAAATCTAAACCGCTTTAAGTTACTCGCTTGAAATTTGGCATCCAGGTACCTTAGTAAACTTAAAGCTGAGTTATAACATGATATTGCAAAATTTCCACGGGAACGGGAGTTAGCGGGATAAACATTTGTATGAAAAATCTAAACCGCGTAAGATAGATGAAGGGAGTAAAACGGGATCCACGCGTACGAAGTCACGGGCGGCCGCTAGTCAATAATATGCATTGTAGATCGTTTCATCCACGTAGACGCGATCAACCAATTTTTGGTCGGGGTAGGGGCGCGGGGTCCCCCGGTCGCGGGGTGCGGGGAGTTTGATCCGAGCAATCCGAGAGTCATAATTGTAGTGTGCATGTGCACTCATGGATAATTTTAGCGTGTACCGATAACACTCAAACATTAGCGTAAGAATGGTGGGCCGCGTCTTCGTGGATGAAACGATCTACTATAACACTGTGGTAAAACAATCATTTCGCAATAAATATGACATAATGGCATGACTACACAAATGTGACTCTATTTTTTAGCCTCTTTCAACACTGCTCTGGTGGGTGGAATAAGGACATTGGTGGGAGGCAACTCTACATTTAAAGAAGAAAAGCGATGCAAGCGAGGAATGTGTGCAAGCGACATAAGCGTAAGTAAGGAAGGAGAGATTAGTAAAGAAAACTGTTTATTTACTCGTATTTGAGTATAAAAACGAACGCCCGTATTCACAAACATTACTATGAGGTCTCGCAGTGCGCGTGCACGCATGACACACGAACCAATCACAGAGCTCTATTCAACGCTGTGCCTTCAATTTGCTGCTTCATATAAGCAAGCATCGTTTGTGAATACGGGCGCAAGTCAATAGTAGACTTTGATCAATTTATCTACCGGATTGAAATCACTATACTCATTGCTATAATGTATTGAATGTCTTCTCGCTCTTGAGATGTTTGCAGTCAGTATTACCATACCATAAAATCCAACGTATTCTGGTAAACGTTCAGCAATACTCAAGTTACACAACACACCAAATATCGTTTATTGTAAGTGTATTCTCTTTAAATTCCATCGGTATTCGTCACTGCTTCGAATACAAAACTAGTGGTTTCGATAACAATAGGGGTGAGTGTAGAAAGTTCATTTTCCATATTTTACTTCTTCTAACATGTAAAAACGACAGAATAATTCATATTTTTCATATTCTTGATGCAAAATCGTCCTTTTTGCTACTACTTAAGTATCTAAATATCTAGGTTGCCGTTGGTATCGTTTCGAGACAGATGTAATGTACTCGAATATATTACAGTATTTTTATACTATTACTGTAATGAAATACAAAATGTAAGACGCAGCCATTAAAGGCAATTAAAGGATGACTGAGGAGCAAATATGCGGTCATCAGCGGTCATCAGGACTCATGAATTTAACGACCAGCTTAGGAAGTGTAGGCTAAATCCACTATTTGCCTGTGGTCCTTCTCTTGCAGTGGATAAAAACGGGACTATTCCCACCTCTCGTTCCCACCACTGCAACTCCTGTGTAGCCAGGATCTACAGCTTGACCGCCAATAAAAACCTAACCCATGAAGGTCAAGTCTGTCCCGGGGGAAAGTTAAACTGTCATGGGATCCGCAACGAAATTAATCAGAAGAACATAGGAGGAGTTCGAAATTAAGGTTCGACTTCCCTCCATTGCATAGCTGATGACAGGTGACAAACAAAGGTATAAAACCTTTAAGAAAAGATTATGCACCACGGACAATAAATATCAATTAAGGGGGCCTACCTTATGAGCAATTAGCAACTACCTGCCAATAATATTTTTCACAAAATGGCTTAAAAGCTCTTGCAGTGGATAGTAAATGACCTAATGATGACGTGAACGAGTGAGCCTCCTGTATCCACTTCTGCTGCAGTCAAGATGTAGGACGCGTTATATTCTGTTTTCGACACTTTTCACGTAGCGTCCTCGTCTCGTATACCGTCACGTCGTCGTGACAGTTTCGTTGGCGTTATAGTGCGCCATATAAAATTATATTAGCATAATACGTGTAAATAAGGGCGGGTTTGGCTTGAATACTCGGAAGGGGTAAGTTACGTGGTCAGTAAGTGGGCTTTTATCCCCTCGCATAAAACAAGGCTTTACTTTAGTTTTTGATGTATGACAGCTATTCGTATCAAGATGAAATGACGAGTTCATTCACCATGATTATTTTCATTCACATTATTTGAATGTCAAAAACGCTCAATAGTTACGCTTGATTGTGGAATTATGTCACAAGAGCCAACTAACGTAAGTGCGCCTATTAACGACCCCCCAAAATTTGTATCCTATTACCGCCCTATTTTTCTTTCATTCATAAAAGACATAATAACAGGTTCCAGAAAACACGTTACCTAAAAAATATCTAGATATGTTTATTGACTATCAAAACGATTAAAGTTTGTATTCGTAAATAACCAGTAAACGGAGTTATTTGACATTAAATGGGACGCGCCCGCAACGGACGCACTTTTCATACTGACGCGCTCCCAGCTACTTAAGGTGCATCTTGATATTAATTAGCGATTTTAACACATTCAAAATTAGTATACCAACATGTTTTTGCATAACAATATTAATTCGTACTTTAGTTTCCTTAATAAACCCTCAATATAGCCCTCTCGCTGTATTTTTGTGGCTTAAATACAATTTTAAATAAGGGCGGTAATAGAAACACTTTTCATAATTTTGTTCCTAATAACGACCCATGGCGTTGTTAGAATTTTGATAAAGTTTTTTGTTTTAGTATTTATATCTTTAATTACGCATTTAACCTCCATTTTGTTGTCTTGATCGATTCATAAGAATATTTCACATAATTAAATCAATTAACGCCATACGTTAATTGTCATAGTTTTGGCATAAAACTGCAATGAACATTAAGGAATATCTCTAATAATGTATGACAATAGATTTTATAAAAACCTGTTAAATTCTAATTAGTACCTATTTGATATAAAATAAACCTAATAAAAATGATACTTCACTGATTACGTCTTCTTTAAAGTAGATATTTTAGCTGGTTACTGTTTTTTTTTTACGGTCGCTAATAGAATAAAGTAATATTCATACTTAATTCTATTACCGCCTCATAACTATAACACCATCTACGAAGACTTATAAGCCTGTATTTTGTATATAACTAACATTTATGACATGACACCAAACCAATCATGCATTATCTCAACTACTATGTAACTTTTTCAGATCTTTTGAATAATAAAAAAAATATTTAAAATAATTATACAGACAGTTTCCAATTGTCTATAGTTTAAATGAAAATACACAATTACACACAATTAAAATCAAAAAACATAGGTCAAAAACTAATTTAAAATTATAGTCAAATTAAAAATAACAATAAAATATTAAATGAAAATTAATTTTTATTAAAACTCAAATATAGTTTAAATAATTACCCCCACTACTCACTAGAATACCGGGTTCCGCGTAATCAAGTATAATAGAGGAATTTATTATTCTACTATTTTTGCTTGATTATTTATTTATTTTCGAGAAGCGTGCCTTTTCTCTTTTAATAATAAAAAAATAATAACTTGAAAAAAAAAAACAAATAACTAAAACAAAAAGCAAAACAAATTTAACTTGAAAAAATCAAGTGGGTATAGTAGGAATCGAACCCGTGCCTCTTGGAATATACCCAATTGAAGAGCAATATTTTTAGCGGTCGGTAAAAGAAACAGAAAAAACGTTAATAGAAACACACCTCGTCTATAGGTCGGTAATAGAAACAACTGCTTTTTCAGATTAAATTGCTATTTATTAATTATTGTGTGATTGAATACTCATTGTTACTACTTGAATTCAAAGATTACTTCATCATTGTTATAAATAAATTAAAATGTCTTTTCTATCAACACGTCTTATATCTAATTTTCTAACGTTTATCCGAAGTCAGCTTAAACTGGCGGTAATAGGCGCATTTACGTTACTTATAATGACTTCAACTCTCATCAAAAGCGTTTCTTCGTTTTATTTTAGTTTGAAGGGAAGGGCCCTTTCCTGCGGAGACATCCCGTTTTTTGCAGGAACTGCAGGATTTAGATACGTGTTTTAATATTAACATTCACACAATAATCCCGTTTGCAGTGTTCCGCAAGAAACCGTTCCATTCGAATTTGGAACCTTTCAATTAAATACACACTTGTATGTTCACACGATAGTCCAGTTTTGCTGGATCCTGCATTACTGGATCCCACAAAACTGTCGTGGGTAAGCCTCAGCGCAGACCACCGATTTTTAGTTGGTCGATAGTTGGGACGGGCTGTTGATCAGTATGGAGATGTATGAGAGTGCGCACATTACACCGATTTGGTATCGGCCGATTTTTCATACAAATTACTATCGGGTCCAACTATCAGCCAACTAAAAGTCGGTGTTCTGCGCCTCGGCTTATGCCCGTTTTCACCATCAATCCCTAATTTTTAAGTGACCTAAACAAAATTCCTGTTATTTGTTACCATATGGGTCACTTAAAAATTAGGGATTGATGGTGAAAACGGGCATTAGGCTCTTAGAAGTCTCTTATCTTGAAACAGTTTTTTAATCACTTATACAATGCATGTAGTCTCAATGTAAAACTTCACTAATCTCTAACTTCATAAAAGTGTTAGTTTGGCTTCACCTGGACACAAAATTGATTCTCAGCAGTTCCCTGCACCGTCCTGATCCAATAAGATTATGTGCTCAGAAGGGACTAGTTTAAGGAATTACAATTTTGCTGGATGGCGCACGTGGTCATAGATTAACTTTTCCTAAGAAAACAATTATTATTAAAAACAATAAAACTAAATTCAGTGACTGGGCTACAGTAGGTATTTATATTAGTAGGAAAAAAATGTTTGAATTATATGGTAGAAAAGCCTATAGTAGCGACCCGGACTTTATAGAATATGTAAAAAAATACTCAAAAGTTTTTAAACAAGTTTGTACCATGGCAAAATCTATTTACATACGTGACAAAATTAAAAACTCTGGCAACAAAATTAAAGCTACTTGGAATTGTATTAATAAAGAAACTTGTAGAATTATATCTCGGGATGACACATTCGCATTAAAAATTGATAATAAGTATATTAAATGCAATGATAAGGTAGCAAACGCATTCGAAGGTTACTTCTCAAATGTACCAATCATAACAACAAGCAATCTTAATTCATGTTCATATCAGGCAATGTCTCTTCTCGAGGGTTGTGTTGATGTTTGCAATAGCCCATTAAAATTTAGACAAATAGACCCCATAGTTATTATAAAAACTTTCAAAGAACTAAATATAAAAAAGACAGAGGATATATGGGGCANTTTTTTGATTTTGATTTTGATTGATTTTGATTTTGATTAAGTCGCTACAGGCTCAGTGACAGGTATTAATTAAAATAATGACATTGGAGATAACCCCCTAACTTTCACATAAATGGAATTTATTGTATGGAATTTGACAGATTTTTGACGTTTGTTAATTAATGTGGTGCAAATGAAGTAAGTTAAACTTTATGGTACGAGTATCTTGCCAAATTAATTATCTTGTTCTTTTGTAGTTTGAACATACTTTATCTCTAAGATATTGAATTTCATACCATATTATTTACTAATTGGGCATACCTACACTTGAAAATAATGAGCTCATTATTATCAAAAGATTACTCAGTATTATGTTTTCTAAAGAGAAAACACTAATGCGATGGCTTATAAAAAATATGAGACTGGATGTTTTGATGTGTATTAACGCTATATTCACAAACATTCCTATGAGGTCTCACAGTGCGCGTGGACGCACAGGGTGACACACG